TATATATATATATATATATATATATATATATATATATATATATATATATATATATATATATAGTGGTTTGGAACGCCTCCGTTTTGTGGCCTGAATTCGCCTTTTTGTCTGTCTGTGGTTGCAGAGTTTTGTTTACATTTGTTTAGTTGATTGTAGGTTTTTGCTTGAATTCTTAGAGATAGCAGCTTTTTTTTTTCTTTTCTTTTTTTAAGCGTTTGCTGTTGCATTTGTTGTTTGCTTAGCTGTGTTTTCGAGTTTGCATCAAACATGTTTTTGCAGCTCAGCTGGTCATTTACTGTGCATTGCACCTGTTGCAACTACTTGCTCCCTTTAAGGCTTTAGGTTGCAGTAATGCACTTAAAGGGGGTTTGCTCCCAAACACGGGAGGAGAGCTGCAGCACATGTGCAGATCCATGCTTGCAAATAAATGTAAGTACCTTTTATGTACAATTAAGCTCAATTATTACTACTTCTCAGTTAACCAGCATTCTGTTCTCTAAAGGCTGATTTATGCTCAGAAACCAGGTCATCTGTGTGTGTTGCAGTTAACGCAGATATGCCCTGCCCTTTCCGCAGACACTCTGGTGCACCTCTCCAAAATTGTTGGTGACCGCAGACAGTGCCGAAGACAGGAGGCCTCTGATTGGTCAAATCTGCAGCTGCTCTACACTGTGTATTTCCTGTTTGGTACCTTACCAGCTTGTTTTGTTTGTATGACCGCCATTGTGTAAAACGACTCGTGAAGATGAATCAGCTAGAAGAGAGAGGAGCACGAGAACGCTGGGACCCTCGCCCCTTGCGTTTTTCTACTCAGCACCTCGGCCGTATCTAGACCCACAGCTAGTTCGTGATTGTGCCTTTTGCGTTGTGGCATGGACTAACATAACACAGACCATGCTTCAAAATTGGCCATAAATTAAAAATATCTGCGACAAGCTCACTGTGCCACACTGTGGGAGTATAACCAGCCCTTTAGCATGTTTTTGTGGGTCTCATGTGATAATTAAATTTTTTTGAGAAACTGAATTTTGGGTTTACAATATCTGTAACCCATAATCATAAACTTAAAAAATGCATAACTTTGTTTGCAAAGATCCATCAAATGTATTGATATTCTAATTTCTGAAATGTGGTTTTATATATAACAGAGGGTAAAATACTCACCCTCCTTCTCATGAAGCACACTAAAAGGCTGCAGCAGCTCATGTTTGGCACACTCCACCACTCCAAGGCGAGCTTTGGCCTCGTCCTCAAAAGCCCTGATGGGAGAATCAATTGTGTTCATTGAGCTGCTGTATGTGTAACTTTTCAGACGAGAGACGGTGACAGGATCATCGAGCTGCATCCTAACCTTAGTGTGAATGGCATGGCATCGAAACGTCGCTCCACTTCGCTGAAAAACGTGCGAGAAGTCTTCATTTTCAAGCCATACTGCTTGCTGGGGTCCCTTTTGTAGATTGTGGTCCTCAGGCCTGAATCTCTGGCCTTACAATTAACAAAACATGAGTTCAAATTTCAATGGTCTCAACAAAAGCAGAATCTCAAGTGGAAATATGCGACAGCGACAAGCAGAGATGATCCTTACCTTTCCCTCACCAGTACTGACCAGGACATCAACAGCATAGACCTCATGTACCTCAAACTCTGCCTTCTCATGGTCCTTTCTGGAAAACAAAATGTAAAAAGAACTATAAATATCAAGCAACTTTAAATACTCAAGGATATATATAAAATAAAAAATTACCTTTGCTGGTCTGTTGGGTTCTGAATGATTGTTTTCTCTCCATCTATCACATGCTGCTTTAACTGATGAGACAGCATACCTTCAAACCACAAAAACAGGCACGATGAATAATAATGCACATTATGCAATAAAAAAATTAAATAAAAAAGGATGCCATAGAAACATCTGACCATTTGCGAAAACATAACCATCATCCTATTATATGACAAACCAGACACTTACCCTCAATAGGAGAGCATTTAAACGACTGTGCGATCTTGTTCCAGGCCTCTGTCACTTGAGCGTTCTAGTAGAGAGAGAGGGGGAAAAAAGAAGATATTTTGAAAATTTTATATCTTCTAGCTTTAAAAGACGTAAAAATTTTCAAACTCCAGTACCATTTTTAATATGCATTATTGAAATAATCGTCAACCAATTTAGTAATCGCTAAATCATTAATTAGAGTATAGCTGAGAGAGCAACCTAATAGAGCGGTAACTATACCAGAATTGTAAAACCAAAAAACACATTTTGGATTTAGTATAAAAAAGGTTTTTGGCCGTCAATATTCTCTATCCAGAACTCCTCCAGTGGAAAAGTTTTAGCTTCGTCTGGTTTCCTTTTTAAAAAAAATATATATTCTACAAGGAACCTTTGGCTATATGATTATTTATCAATTAATCAAGAAAATAATCAACAGAACAATCCATTTGCAAAATAATCATTAGTTACAGCCCTAATAGATAATGTTTATATCAGTTTATAATTTGCTGCATTAGCATTTAATGTAAAGAGAGAATGCTGCTGGAAAAACCTGAGACTAAGCTTAAAAGATGCATTAACCATCCATCTTGTGGGTTTTACCTGGTTCCCGGGTTTAACGAGGCGTAGAGCTGCTTCCGCACACAGATGTGCTGCTTTGATGACGTCAGCTTTTCGGCCTGTGATGGGGTTCTCCTGCAGCAATCGAATCCATCAACATAAGCAACAGTATTTTGAAAGGTGACAAAAACCAGGATCCCACCAAAAGTCTCACCTTATTGGCTCCGACAACAAAGCTGTGAGCGACGTTTGCAATGAAGCCATCAACGTGTACACCAAGATCTCTAAACAGAATAAGACCGGAGTGTGAATATTCAGAGCAAGTTTAGCTGCCACTGTGTAGCAGATCACCATTAAAAGTAAACAGAAAACAAGACATCACAAGCAGGAAATGATAAGAGTAATTTCATTTGGGAATTTCTTTTTTTTGGCTCTCAAACAACTGGATTAACAATGTAACTCTACAAACAATAACGGCATTAATTTGTATCAGACTGATTTTAAAAGCAACTCTTTATGAATTATAAAGACAAGATGAACAGATAAATTAACCAAAGCCCAAATTTGGCAAGTTTACCCATTATGGGCTCTGATCTAGGATTTCGAGCTAAAATATTGAATAATCAATGATATTCTCGTCTTTTAAATGCCTAACATTTTGTTCATCTTTGAAATAATACTGTTTTTAAAATGGCATCAAAAATTATTTCTAAAATATTATCAACCTTTAATGTGAAACTAATCTGCAGATTTACACCATTAACAGAAGTCTGTGTGGTGCAAAAACTTTAAACACATTTAAAAGATCCAATAACCGGGTTGCATAAGTGTACACACCCACTAATACTTTGCTGATCCATAATTTAGTTTAACCTCAGTGTTCTTGCTACTTGAATAGAGCACTGCCAATTACAGCCAATCAGCTTAACTAGATATAAACTTAAGGAATCCTGGTTGTCCCTGGCCTCTGCATTCTTTAGCTAATGACACAAAGAGGTACCGACTAAGTCTGAAAATAATCTCAATGTACTAATGTTCCATTAAACAGGAGGGCATAAAGAGACAGTGGAGTCACAGAAACAGGAGATGAGAATTAATCTTCTCATTGAGAAGTTGCAAAGCTTTCTACCCAGTATAGGTGGTTTTCAATTAATCATTCATTGGCCAAATTCCAGACTAAGTAGTAGGTTCAAAAGAATTATATTTCACTAAATAAAACATCTGGGATTTCTAAAACCTACCACAACTTTTTAGTTCAATCTGTTATGGTCTCATCAAACCAGACTAGAACTTTTAGCCCCAAATCCAAAAATAAGTTTGCAAAACCCTGCGGCTCAATAACATGTATATACAGTGATGTGAAGTGGTGCAGCTATCACGCTCTGGGCTTCATCGAAATAAAATTTGTTAGGGGGAGGAAACCAGAAAGCGTTTTAAATAAAAGTCTGACCTGAAAATCATCTGAGTCCGAAATAACAAAGAACTTCAGAGAGTCCAAGTGTGTCCTCTAATGTAAAATCATGATCATGCAAAATAAACAAACTCAAGTTTAGGATTGGTCTGGCCGATTTAAGAACCAATTTGAAAAAAAGAGACAGTGTTCAGAGATCAGTTAAATAAAAAAAAAATCAATAGGATCACCTAAAGAGGTGGGCAAATGGTGTCCTCTGTTTTAAATGTAATCTCTAGATGCACTCCTCTGAACATAAGAAGAAAAAAGACCCTCATCAGTAGATACAGACAGAAGCAGCAATACAAACCACTGCAACATGACTTAATTCGTCACAGAGTTGTAGAAACTTTCGTTGTTTACCAAAGCTAATCTACCCTGGAGAAACCAGCAATCAGCTACAAAGAAAAACTAAGAATAACACACTGGAGACTCAGACACAGCAGTAACATTAGTGTAGAGTGTGGTGCCTACATTTTGACCAGATCCCCATCTTTAAGTATGTAGTCTGGGTCACTCTTCAGGGGGGAGAAGTGGCAAACACAGTTATTGACGGAGACGCTGGTAGGAAAGGCAATACCTGGAAGATGGAGGGAGATTAAGTTAGAAAGAAACTAAAGATGTATGTTGATAATGATTTTTCATCTAGTTTGTTATAAAATAATACTGATAGCAGCTGGTCAATTTAAAACCAATATGAGAAATCTAGATTGATCCAGCTGAGCTAGATCAAAGATAAAGACACCATCTTTTCCAGACCTTTCTTCATTTCCTTCTCCTTTTTGAAGACTTTTCCAGTTTCAGTCATGATGTAGGCGTCGCCTACCTCACACAGACTGAGGACGGAGACCCCGGCTTTAGCTGCCTCCACAACCTTACGGAGAGCCTCTGTAGAGGAAAACCACACAGTGTTATTAAGCGGAACAGTCTAGTAGCTGAGCAATGTGACTTTTGACTCTGTTTCATGAGCGGTTCTGGTATTTCAACACACTGAAGGGGTTTAATGGAACTGCAATGATCCATCTACCCAAAGCTTTGTTGCTGTTCAACCCTCTGTGATGCAATACCCAAAGGACTGCTTTATCCCTGTGATTACCTGCAGGTACATTCTAGGCAGGTAATAGAAGCCCTGATGTGAAATACAGTGTCTGGGCTTTTGTTTAACAATCTTCTATTAGTCTCTGGTTTAACCATAATAGACATATTATACAGGGTACAAAATACAAAAAAACAAAAACAAAAAAACACTAACAAAACAGGGCATTTCTCATAAAGATGCCCCAAAATTTTAAACATAGGAAACCAAATTGCTAACTTTTAATAGTAACCTGAAATGGTTAAACCTTTTTCTGGATTAAACAATAAGACAAACAAAAAATGAATGCATGTAATACAGAAAGTTTAAAAGACTTGTGTCTTATTTTCATATAAAGACAAGAGTAAAAAAAAAACGCAATTTAGATTTAATTCATAAACAAATCTAATTCATCTCCTTAAATATATTTCAAATACTTTATATTGACTTCAATCATTTCTATATATGTTATGGTTATTATTAGGCAAATATAAGCTCCTAAACGTTGGTACGAGTAGTTAATGTCATAGTAAAGATTGAAGAGTAATGGCTTTCTAAAGATATTTGTAGCTTAGCTAAAGGAAAAAGCAAAAATATACCATCAGCTCTGTTATTCGTCATGACGACTGTCTAATAAAAGCAGGACTTAGCCAAATGGGTAAGGAGATTGAGTTTCCTTCTCGTCTTTCGACTCAGATGCGTTTAGTTAAATAAACCACCATGTACCAAGATGAGCTAGCTTAATAATTAGCATCTCACACTACTTTAACTGCTCTCACCAGTTATAATTATTAAAAATCAAACTTGGACTACACCAGCTAGCTTTAGCTAACCCGTCTATACAGAACTGCAGCCGTTGCACCTGTTAGTCAGCAGTCTATGTTAGCATACTTGCTTCATGAATGTAAAAGCACATGGCTGTAGCGGCAGCTGTATGGAAAACGTTAGCTGGCAGCGCGACAGGCCGTTCCAGTCACTAATGGTTTTTATTTTTTTCTTTAACTTACGGTTGGCGATGTCACCCCCCATCTTATACTTGGTGACCACCAGGTCTTCGGCTATTGTCTGCTCCTGCTCATCGTCGGACATGTTGGCAGTGAAGTTTCCGTCGCTCCTGGGCCCAACGAAGCGACTGTTCTCAGCAAATGAGTTCGGCTCTGACCGCTACGCTGCTGTACGCGCGCGAGCCTCCGGATGCAGTACAAACTCCACCCACCTCCGGTGTTCACGTCACAGCACACCCGGCCCGCCAAAATAGCGGGATGTATGGCAAGTGAAATTCATATTTTATTTCTGTAAAGCAGTTCTGAGAGTTTTTCTCCACTGGCCTGGGCCAAAATACTAGGGATGTTTTACACCATTAATAATAATATTCAAATTACTAGATAGTCCTGCCAACTCTGACAACACATTTAGTTACTTAAAGTCCTTATTTCCTTTGTAGTTTCCAGTTTCTTTTATATATCATTCTATATTTCTTCTTTAATGATCTTATTCTCTAGTGAGTCCTTATCAATTTTATTCTTGTATGCAATTGTTTATTACATTTAGTCTGATATATCAGGAAAACGTGGTATTGTGTTGTTATTGCTGAACTTTGTGATGAGAACATAAATTGCAGTTGTCCTCTGTTGAGATTTCTTCTTCTTCTTCTTCTAGAATTTATTGGCGGTTGGCAAACATTTGGTGGCGGTAATGCACCATATAGTTGTTTGCCAACTTGTTTAGTGAAAAGAATATAGTTGTTATATATTATATAACAACTATATTCTTTTCACTAAACCTGTTACCAATAAATAATGAAATATAATTCTATGACCTAAATCGTAAGTGGTTTTCCTTAAAATATTTATGTACTTCTCTTTTTCCTTTTCAAGACTCCTTATCAGCTGTGTTCTTTTTCTTTGATATTTCCTACAGTTATGCGTAACATGTTCTATTGTTTCAAATTACCCACATACATTGCAACTCCCTGTTTCATGTTTTCCCATTGTCGTGAGATTGATTCCTGTTGTATATCTACAGTAGTGGTAGTTCGGCTTCCTGACTACTGGGGGAGCTCTAGGAAACTAGAGCGACACAGGTTCGAATAAGAGAGTTGTACGTTGTTACCAGATGCTCCAACAATAATAAATGGAAGCACCGCTTTCCAACTGGAATAACTTTGTCTGTCTTCCCTCATAACATGACACCCATTAACTTTAATGTTGAATTAAGTCCTGTATGTCCCAAACATAGTTTTCTTATTATCTTTTCCTGTATTCTGTTCCTCCCAAATTTCCCTCGAACTTCCCAAACCTTCCTTTGTATTCTGTAAAGCCACATTCCTTTTATATCTTCT